TTCCCATCTACACTAAAGTGAAAACACATAAAATATCTGGTAATAAATGTAAAAAATACAAAAAAACCCACAAAAGTTTATTGAAGAACATAATAACGACTTACTGTCATGAAGATATTAATTCTTTTAAAAGCATATAAATTAAGGCCATCCCCAGTGGATTGCTGTTTCTTTTGGAATTTAATAAAATGATCTTAAAGTTTATGCAAACATTTAAGAAGAGCCAAAAATAGTTATAGAAAAGATCAGAGATAGAGGATTTGCCTTCCAGATATTAAAACCTGCTATTTTTTTAAAAACTTGCTATAAATCTGCTGAAGACAAACAGTGAATTAATGTGAGTCAGATAATAGGCTAGAGAGTCCAGAAACASATCTCAGGTTTTCCAGGACTATGATAGAATAAATGTGGTATATTTATTCACAGAAGGAAATTACATAACTGGGTATCTATTTAGAAGAACACCTCATCAWAAACGCAAATACATAAACAAAATTTAAATATAAAGACAAAACACATTTTAAATTTTTACAAGAAACTTTCTTCCTGAATAATTCAAAGACAGATGAGAGGCATCTTTAATAAGAAATTCAGAAGTTGTGAGCAAATAATACAAATCTATCTAWTTTTTCTTCTTTTTTGGTACCAGTGATTGAACCCTGGCAATGTTGTTCTTCCCCAAACCCACAGAGTGGGATCCCTGGAGGGGAGACCCACCCTAAGGGAATAATCCCTGTGGTAAGAGCCCCTGGTACCCAGCCGTCTTGGGTTCTCAGCCACAAGAGGGAGCCCAAGAGCAAGGGCAGCAAGAGTCTGGTAAGTGAGTTCCAAAGTTCAAGCCCCGACTTCTTTTCCCTTGCACTTGGTGTAGGCCCTGTGCCTGGCCATTTCCCAGAAGTGGCCATTGGCATCCTTACTTGTCACATCATTGGTGGTGATGGTGGGTTGTTGACTTCAGGGGAAAAATTATTGGTTAGAGGACAGGTCAGAGTGGGCCCATATTCAGGCATCAGGCCCAATAAAGTCAGGGGGGGGTAATAAAAAATTGATAATTTTTTGTGCGGGTTTATGAGAGTGAGGGGGAGTGGGGAAGAGAAAAGTGTAGGGGATAGTTGTGAATTGTGTGTCCCTGAAGGATGAGATCAGAGAAGAGAACTTTAAATATCAAAGATCATGGCCGGACAAGGACATGCCTGGTATGAGGAATATACACTGGAAACCTTTAGGAGGAGAATACCAAACCCTGTGTGGTGGGCAGAGAGTGTTTGTTAAGGAGGGCGAGGGTCTCATAACTAGTTAGAATGGAGGGTGCAGGGCTTATACTCCAAGGAACCCTATTTCCCAGCTGCATATTGAGCAAGCCTGATCCTATCAACTCTCACTGTTGACTTCTAAGAGGATTTCAGGGAGTGGGGATAATTCAGTGCGACCCATCCCCTTTGCTGGAGAGTCAACTGAGTCCTCAATCAGCAAGGGGCCATGCCCATTATTGCTGCTATGTACATGTCAAAGACTGGGAAGTTCCGAAACTAGTCTGCTAGGATTCCTGTAAGGGAGTTCTGTCCTCCAAGGCCCCTCCTGACAACAATGGCAAGGACAATGTGGGACCTCCTCTCTGGAAATGGTCTTCAGGGCTGTTGTAATCTTTTGAAAGTAGGTAGAGATATCTGGGATCAAGTTTGGTGGATCAGGTGAGTGTTTACTCCAAGTGTCAAGGAAGGATGGATTTGAACCCCAGAACAGAAGAGTTGGGAGATTCTCCAGAGCAGTGGCTCTTAAGTTGTGGTCTCCAGAGCATGAACATCATCTGGGAACTTGTTAGAAATGCGAATTCTTGGGCCCCGACACAGATCTACTGCATCAGAACTTTGTGTGGAGCCCAGAACCTGTCTATGAGCAAGCCCTGCAGGGGAGTCTAATGTGTGTTCAAGTATGAGAACCGCTGCCCTCGTGAATCTCTAGAATAGCTCCAAGCAGGTGRATGTCAGATATCCAGATTCTTCCTCAATGCTCGCAGTGACTGGTTTGTGGGTTTGAGAGTGTGAATGTGTGTTAGTATGCGAGTATGTGAACTATTGAGAGTGTGAATGTGGGTGTGTGTGGGTGTGCTTTTGTGAGATCAGGGCTGGGGATGTGGATGCTTCATGATCTAGGAGGGTCAGTTTTACAATCTTCAAATCAGAGACTAAGCCTTTTCTAGTTAACAAACTCTGGGAAATCAGATGAAAATAGTGGAAACTCCCTCAAGAAAAACACGTTGGCACATGCATATATACCTTCAATTGTTTACATACAATTTTAGGTGTCTTATTTCCTGGGCTAAGAGCCTCTGATCTACTTGGATTCTTCCCTAACATGTTTTTCCATTTGTAAAGAATGAAAAACAAGAGTAATTGATTGTGTGTCGATATAGGCAGTAGGTGGCGMTGTAGAGACAGAATAGTGGAATTTTGCCCAAGTCAGGCAGTAAAAGAAAGAGGGGCTGGGCAGTGGGAGCAGGCATAGGAGTGCCTTCCCCTTCTCCTGGACTACCGATTCTTGTCCTCCCTCTATTAGCTGAAGGCTTTCCAGGTACATGCACCATCTGGTTAGTTTGCTCTGTCAGAGTTACAGATGCATCCAGTAATCACAGAGCCATAGGTCTGGGGATCTAGCTCTGGTTTCCTAGTAGGGGGAATTGAGAAATGGACGTCCGCTAGGTGCTGAGTCTCTGTACTTTTCTGGGTCCCCTATATACCAAGAGTGTGGCAGGAGAGTGTGGGGGGATGGGGTGGGGGACAGGCTTTTTAGCATTGCTAATAGGAAGAGCTATTGCTGACTGTTCTCAGGGAGGATAATTTTTCTGATTTACTCCTCACTGTCATTATTTAATAGATGAGGGAACAGGAATTTACAGTCCTGGATAGATGGTTCTCAAACCTGGAGGGTTTGTGAGAGCAAACTTGGGACTCTACCCCAAAGACTCTGATCCTGTCAGTCTGAGGTAGAGCTCAAGAATCTGTATTTCCAACAAGTTGGTGCTAAAGCTGTGGCACCAGGATTCATAAGGAACTGGTAGAAAAGAGTGGAATTAAGCTGGGATCAAACATGAGAAGTATTAATTAACACATTTCAGAACAGCTAGAGAAGAAGAGTTTGAAGGTTCTCAATAAATTGAACAGTAATGTTTGAGGAGATGGAAGTGCTAATTATGCTTATCTGATTATTGTACATTGTGTGTGTATATATATATATATATTTAATTATAATAGTGTACCTCAAAAATAAGTACAAGAATTATATGCCAATTATTTTTTTAAAAAAGCAAAGCAAAAGTCAGTATGGTAGTGCACGTCTGTAATCCCAATGGCTGGGGAGGGTGAGGCAGGAAGATTGTAAATTCAAAGCCAGACTCAGCAACTTAGCAAAATCCTGTCTTCAAAATTTAAAAAGGGCTGGGGATGTGCCCCTGGGTTTAATCCCAGTATCAAAATAAAAATAAAAGTAAAAARTGCAAATCAAGGGTGTACACCTGTAATCCCAGCTTCTAGGAAGGCTGAGGCAGGAGAATTGCAAGTTTGGRACCAGCCTGGGCAACTTAGTGAGACCTTGTCTCAAAATAAAATTTTTTAAAAGAATTAGAGATGTGGCTCAGTGGTAGAGCACCCTTGAGTTCAATCTCCAGTACTTTAGAGAAAGAAAGGGCCGGGGGAGGAAGGAAGGAAAACAAATCAAATGTTATTTTTGTTTTCGACAACAACATCAACAAAAAAATCAGAATTATCTTTGTTTTTTAAAATTATTATTGTTATTACAGAAGTTTGGTTATAAACACTAAATTGTGCTATTGTGCTCCTGGTTATAATTTAAATAATAAAAATATTTAAAATGATAAAAACCAAAACTTACAAATAAGTCTTTCTCTTCCAAGCCCTGACCCCAGTGTATATACTCTTAACTACCTCGTCATACTTCCTCCCAGGGCATCCCTTCTACTATAGATCAAGCAGCAACATCTATCTCTAGAATCGTTATTCGAGTAATTGTGATTTGATTAATATTAAGTGGCTTGGGTTTTGACAGGTCTTTATCTAGTCATGCTAACACTCATTCATTTGTTCATCTCATTAATTTACTCACCTTTCCTTTAAACAAACAAATGCTTAACACTACTATGTTCTTGGTACAAGTGTTCTGTTGGGCTCCTGGAGTTAAGGATTAATGCATACCCAATAGGAGGGAACTGGGTGGGGAACGCAGGGAGGAGACATGTGACCAGATCATGACCCAATGCCTGGATGGGTGCTGTTCAGGACAGAAGGGGTCAAGGGTGCACTCGGGTTTCTAGTTTGTTCAGCTCGGAATGGGTAGGAAGCTGGAGGACCAGAACTGGCTAGAGCAGTGAGGACAGCAGAGTGATCTTGAATCTCTGCAGGACTCTTAAACACTCAACAGTCTCCAACAAGGCAACTCACAAGCACTGCCAGKGTCTGCCAGTTCTTAGTTTCCCAGGAGATGCAAAAGAGCTTACTTACATCTCATTTGCCTCCTGTGGGTCCCACTTCACTCCTGAACCACACGGCTGGTTCTGACACTGCAATTGTTTAAAGGACTTTGGAAGCTCCTGAGAAATGGTAGGAGGAGTTGACAGGCAAATCCTGCACTTCCCCATGGAAGTCTCATGTGGGGAGAGTCCCATCTTTGAGGAAGTGTGGCACCACTGTTCTACAGATGCAGAAATGAGTCTCAGCAGGCGGCGGCAGGGGAGGGGTGCATCAGTGGTAGAACCAGATTTCCCAAGGCCCATGGAGCCCGGCCTCTGAGAGGTATTTGTGCTTTTTACAATCTCCACTGACAGGGCAGGGATGAAAAACTTTGGGTGCCTGGGGACACAAGTAGGGGAGTGCAGAAGTGGATGACAGGGTCATCTAGGGGAAGGGCAATTTAGAAGATATCCAGTGAGGGGAAAGGGAACCCTGAGATATGGCCGTGGGGATAGGGAAGAGGCAGAAGAACCTTACCTTGACCTGGTCCAGCACTACCAGGGGCCCATTGACGCTGCACACCGTCCTGTAGGCTGGGGGAAAGGCAGGGTGGTAAGACTCTCACCTCCAGACACTCCCTAACACATGCTTGGCCTCCAAGACACAGGACACACACACACACACACACACACACACACAGAGAGAGAGAGAGAGAGAGAGAGAGAGAGAGAGAGAGAATCCTCGCCTTTCCTTCCTCTAAACACCCCCCACCTCCTCCCCAGCCTGGGCCATCAGGGTCATTAGCTGTGACAGGGCCAGCCACCATTGCTGTAAGGGTCATGCCCCTGCCCGCAGGGCCTCTGCTGCCTCGGACACCTGCAGGAGGCTGGGGGAGGGCAGAGGCCTCAGAGTCTTCCCTGGTCCTGGGGAGGAGACCCTTATCCTCCCTGATGGGCTTCCCCTCTGGCCTCAACCCCCACCTCACCCGCTCCCTCCTCTCTGACTCACAACATTTTCCAAAGGCTTCTGGCCCCCAGCTGTGGTTGAGAAGTGCCCTCCTCTGCCCTTCACCAGGCCACATTTCCTTCTGYTCACCCCACACTGATTGAGCACTGTGGGGGGTGGGGGGGAAGAAGCTTTGTTGAGAGAAACAGAACAGAGTCCCTGCTCTCACAGGCMCTGGTGAGGCCCTGCCGGGGTGGTTCCTGGACTCCCCTGGCTCGCTGGGTGCTCAGAGGGGTAGGGGGAAGAAGAAGAGAAATGCTCCCAGACCTAGCAGCTGCAGAGGACCATGGAGGGGGAATGGGCTTAGCTTAGAAGGTGGGGTTCTGTTAGACATCAGGAAACCCTTCCCAACTCCAGTGAAAAGCTTYGGTTCTGCCAGGGGCTAGCCCAGGGACTTTGGGACAGTACTGTCCATAGCAAAGGGGTACCACGGTCCTACCCTGGGACTCTTGTGTGGCACCAATGACACAACTTGAGATGGAGAACTTGGCTTGGCAAGATGGGTGGGGTRCTGGGTGGCTCACAGGTTGCAGACCTCAGAGAAAAATGGAGCCCAGAAGAAAGGCGCAGAGTCCCAAAGCAGGTTTGAGGCAGAGCCAGGGCTGAACTCSCCCCAACCCCTTGTGCTTCCCATCAGCCCTGGGTCGCATAGCCCTCTTGTAGGCATGCTCCTGGGCAAACTAGGTGGCCTCAACCCACCTAGTGCCTGAGAGAACCCAATAGCCCCTCACCTACTCCCTCCCCATTCTGGGCTTCTGAGTCAAATCCCTTATTTTTGTCTGAAAGCTCCTTTCACCAGGGTGTAGACCAGGAGACCCACCCATGGGGCAAGGCAAGGCTTGTACAGATCTTTACATAGATCCTCCAATGTCAGCACTGTTTGCAAAACTCAAGTCTCAAGGAGAGTGCGAGAAGGAAGGTTCTCTGCCCAGGCTTTGGCTGGCCCAGGGCAGCACCCTTTTGCTCCCTGTCCTCAGACCTGCCCAGAGACCCACTGCATCTGGCTGCCCTCACTTCTTCCCACGAAGGAGGGCCCACCCTCCATCCTAGGCAGGTCTCTCCCCTGCACCAGGCCCTGGAGACAACAAATCCTGCGGTGCAGGGCCAGTGCCCTCTCCTCTCACCACCGCACCCCACAGTCTTTCCTTCAAACAAGCTCTGTTATCTCCCACCCTCAGCCCCAATCCTTCTCCAGCTCCTGCTCATACAGCATGGCCTCCAGTGATCCAATGGTTCTTCCCCCTTCCCTGCCTCTCAAACCTCTCTACTCTGGCTTCCAGGGCTGCCTTCTCTCTAGGCTTCTCCTAGGCCTCTAGATCCTGCATTCAAAGTGATCCAGCACATTCCATGAGAGGCTGCATGYATGCTCCTCTTCCTCACCCCCTTGTTCCGCCTCTGGGTTGCTTCTCAGATTCTTTGGACAACACACTCTTCCCTCTGGGAGACTTCACTGCTTTGCKCTTCCTACTCCCCTTTCCCTAGGTGATCTGCTTCCTTCTTCCCTAATCCCTCCCTCTCTCCAAGTATTTCTATGGCACCTATTGGATATATGAGGCCAGCTGTGGAGCCTACAATCTAAAAGAAGGGACAGARAGAATGTAACACAATTACCAACTGCAGTAGGTGCTAAGAAGGGCAAGAACAGGAAGGGTGAGTGAGATGGGCCAGGCGGCCAATGGTCAGGGCTTTGCAAGGATGGGCCTTTTGAGCTGAGCCCTCAGGTCAAATGGAGCTATCTACCCAGCYCCAGAAGTTAGGGAAAGGGCACATATGCCAGGGGTGAGCAGCTCAGACGTGAGAAAGAACCCCTTACTTGGTGATTTGGGGGAACACAGGCAGTGCAATGGCCTGCAGAGGCTTGCATCTGGGCTCAGGGACGTGTCAACTCCCAGAGAGCAGGGACATCCTCTGCAGCGCTCTCTGCTGTATCCCACCTCTCAGGAAAGCACCAGGTATATGGCAGATACTTGGGAAATATTTGTTGGATGAATTATGGTTCCATTAGCTTTTCCTCACATGTCYCAAAGGAGAACCAACATGTGACCTTCCCTACCTTCCCAGCCCCTTGAACCAAAGGAGGGTCCCATCCTGAGGGACTGTACCTTTAGCTCCAGTCTGCTTCCTGTGAAGATGGAGATGGAAGAGATTAAAAAAAAAAAAAAAAGAGGATGCATGTGCTAAGGGGGTGGGAAGGCATAAAGAGACCCCCCAAAGAGGAAGGGTAGGGTTCCTAGGTGGGGGCATCTCCCTCCACATTAGGAAAAAAAATCATGATGCAGCCATCCACACACACTCTTGCTCTTGCTCGTGTGGTATTTTGATTAAATTGCCAGGGTTGTTAGGTTCGTAAAGAGTGGAACAGAGGCAGGACGTGAAAGCAGAAGGAGGAAATGAACTGGGTCAGGAGGGGATGGGCAGGGGCGTGGGGACAGGCCAGTAAGTTTATAAGTCCAGAACAAGCCAGCGCTTTGCCAGGTTTTATAGAGTAAATACTAGACCTGCCACAGGGCTGAGGGAGGGGAAGAAAACTGCAGACCTGGGGTAGGAAGACACAGGGTGGGTGGGCCTGGAGCAAGGGAGGCGTGGAGGCAGGGCAGGGCCCCGGGGCCAGAAAGCCACAGGGAATCATTTCCAATTCCACGGCCTCAGGAGACAGGTCTTTCAACTTCCTCCTTTCATTCACAGCTGGCTCCCCTACTTCACAGCCTCTGTCACATGAAATCCCCATTAACCTGGGAGGGGAGGTAGGGGACAATGGTGGCAGASGATGTGGGATTAGAGGATCCACACTCCTCCCTAAGGGGAGGGTCCCTGGAAGAGCCTGGGCTGCTGCTAAGTGCTTGCCTGCAGGGACCCTCTGGGAGGCCAACTTCTCAACTCTATTCTGGGAGTTAGGGTGGGAGATCATGCCAGGCYACATGGGGACAGCATGAGGTCTCCGAGTCCCCCATCTTAGCACACCAGCTTCACCTACAGGTCATCTTCCCAGGCCTCAGCAGCCACAACACCTGCCTCTAGGTGGGATTCCTAGGGAGGCTGGATGGAGACACAGCTCCGTGGAGCCTTAGAAAACCCATTTACATGCCATTTCGGTTCCACACTGGGCTGTTCACACCCTTCAAGGTCTTGCCCAAAACCACCTACTGCAGCTCACCGGGTCTCTCCTTCTGAAGACCCATAGCACTGCAGACTGGCCCCTACAGGGGCTGTGTCTCTCCTGAGACAGACAGAATGGTGGCTGAGCRTCAGGCCTCTTGTTTGTATACACCATCGACTCTGGTTATGTCCATTGCAAGGAAGGCAAACTGAGACCCAGAAACTCAGCTGGTTTCGCCACAGTTCAGGCAGTATCTTTTAGCCCTCRGGGATTATGGCTACTACACAACCCTGGGATGTCCCCCTTGACCCTGGAGAGGGAAGGGGGCTGCAGAGTTGCCGGCAGAGGGCCGGTTCAGATGACCTGAGGGGCACTCCCTCAATGGGCCTTCCAGACTGTGCAGACACTCCCTCCAGCTGCTCTGCCCACCCTCTCCATTGTCCTAGCTGACACTTTGGGCTGCACTTTGGACTGCAGGCTGGAGGAGCGGCTCCCTACCCCCACCTCCCTACCGCCTTCCCCGTCAAAGGCCCAGCAGGGATCCTGACCGGCACACTAATTAGCGCCGGCCCAGCCACACCTGCAGCGTCCCCGGAGAGGGCTGAGGCGGGCACCCATGCGTGAGGCCAGGGTGGGGGCAAGCCTGGGGCAGCAGGTCCTGCACCTCCTCCCTGATCCCAGCTGGAAGGATTAGGGGAGGGGGGACAGAGGCTGGAAGCTGGGGGTTCTTAGAATCAGCCCAGGAACCTGTTGGTTGGGACTCTCGATGTAACTTTCTCCCCTTTCTGCCAAGGAAACTGAGGCAGGGAGGCAAAGCCAGTGGCTTGGTGCTCAAGCCCCTGGAGGGCCTGATTAGGCCCCATCCCTCCAACCAGGCTGCTAACCTTCCAAAACTTTGCCTAGACTGGCCCCCTGTGCCAGCCTAGCCTCTTCTGCCCCAGTGACCAGGTGAAGCTCCATGCCACCTCCTCCCCAGTGAAGCCAAGGCTCTTGGGGAACAAGTCGAATGCTGTGGAGCAAAGAGACCCTTCTTTCCCAAGGTGGACACTGCTGGTTTTACTCCCCATCTAGACTCTACCTGGCTCCTCCTTTCTGGCCAATTCTTTCCTGTAATCTCTGTACTGAAATCAGTTGTGAGGAGTCCATCTCCTCTGGAAAGGAAAGGGCTTCTCAAGCTGCACCTCCCAGGCCCTCTGAGTCCAGCCTCTTTCTAGGCTCGGTCTCAGGGCTGAGAGAGTGCTTAGAGTCCCAGGGTAGGAGATGAGGCTGGGGAGGCAAGCAGAGGGGTGAGCWACCCTGCCTCCAACCTGCCAGGGGTCTCCAGACTCTCTCTGGTCCTGTGCCTGTCCACATGCCGCAGGGAAGAGCACCCCCTAGACACCCAGGAGAACAGACARGAGCAGGAGACACTGCAGGTGCAGAGGAGTGCTGGGAGTGCTGGGATGCTGCTGGGTAGGAAGGTGTGTGGATGGCTGGGGAAGGTGTCTGGGGTTGGTCCTGGGTGCATCCTGTGAGCATGCTCAGTTTGCAGCAAAGTGAAGTCAATGGCCAGAGCAGAGCCAGGAGGGCTCCCTGCACTGAACTTGCTCTGGTTTTTAACTGTGGGGCATAAACACATTTGCCTGGGTGGGAGCTACTGTTGCAGGAGGCCTATAAATATGGAGGCACTGACACCCCTAGGTCCCATCCTGGGTCAGAACCTCCAGGATGTTGATTGTAAATAAAGAACTGGTTAGGAGGAAACTGGCTTGAGGCTGCTCCTGGCTGGGCAATCCTGCCTGGAGGAGGAGTCAGGCAAGGTGACATTTATCTTCAGGACTCACAAGGGCAAGTTTCAGATGGAAAGCAGGGTTTGTGGGTCCAGACCCCACACCCTGCCCAGCATGGCAGCTCTCCTGTGCCCTCAGGTKTGGGACAGGTGATCTGCAGGGGTGGTAGGTCATCTCATGGGAAGGAGTTCCCAGCTCTGGACCCAGTGTGAACTGAATCACTGTGTGTTTCTTAGCTTTGGTGACCACAACTGTGGCCTAGGGAGAATCTACCCCCAGAAGCTCCACAGGGCAGAGTCTGTGGGGCCTCCTTAAGAAGACTGAACTCACTTAACTCTGTCATTTCTCCTTTACTGGAATTTGTTCCACCCTCAGCACCTGTCTCAGGCCTCAGCAAGAGTCTCACACCTTGGGGGCTCTGCTGGCTGCGGGGGGGGGGGGGGGGGGGGGGGGGGGGGGGACAGCTTACTCTGTGCTCAGTTTTCAGTTGCCCTCTCAAGCTCCCCCCACCTCCTCCACCTCCTCCATTAGACTGGGTGGCTGCAGAGGAGGAGGAGGGAGGGAGAAGAGTTTCCTGTGTCAGATTTTCTTCCTCTCACTCACCCCACWTGCCCTGTTAGGAACCTCTGGCTAGGCTTTAACAGGGGCGGGCCAGGCTGGTTTACTCCAGTGAGCTGCACGTGCTGTCTGAGAACTGCCAGGCCTGGGAGGGTGACCTTGGAGAAGGAAATTGTGAGGGGATTTCCCTTTGGTCCTCTGGACCTTTACAGGTTCTCCTCCCCAGGTATCTGGACTTGTCCAACCCCTACAGAACCAGCACAGGAGTGAGCCACACAGGGCTGCCTCCGTGAAAGTTACAAGGGTACCCCCCAGGGTACCCGTTTACAAGCTCCTACACCTGACACTCACCCTTACCCCTGTGTACACACATAAAAACTGCCACACTCAGATACGTGACATTGTGTGTTCAAGGGGACAGCACAGGACATGTCASGTATCTGAGTGTGGCAGACATACCTACCCGCACCCTAACAAGCACACTTGCATACATTCACACTCACACTTTTCCTCCCCTCCAAGAGAAAGTGGGTGCACACCCCGCCAGGCCCACATCTCTCATAGAAGGCACATACAACACGCAGCCCTTGACTCACGGGACACAGGGACACTATCACCTCATATTGAGAACACTCACATACATGGACACACATGTCAGCCCCACTACACTTCATCATACACTTCCTCCTGCTGAGGGTTCTGGGGCACACTCCTTACATAGGAGTGTGCGCATGCGCACAGACAGGCACTCTCTCGGGGCATTTGGAGCTCTCTCTCTGGGCTTAGGGTCTTAGGCAGGATCAATGATGACAACTAACCCCTCCCCCCAGTCCTCTCCTCTGGGTCAGCCTGGGCTGGGTCCTCCATCCCTCCTCCACCTGCAGAGGTGACTCCGTGCAGGCTGCCCCCACAGTGCGGTTCCCACTGAACCGAGGGCCTCTTGCTATCCCCTGGTATCAGTCCTCTTCTTTTTCTGAGGCAAGAAGACTTTATCTGCTGGAGTCTCAGCAGCTCCCCACCCCAGCCTCACCCGCTAGGGCTCATACTCACTGACTCGGGGGTGGGTGACGTAGTTTCGGGTGACCGCCTGGATATGTTCCCTGGCTGTGCCCAGGTCGCAGTCACTGTTGGGGAGCCCGCCGGACCTGCTGTCTACTTTCATAGCCATGGTGTGTGGTGGCCTGGGAGTCAGTGYCTGAGTAGGCTGGTGGCAGCTCTACGACTTCAGGCCCCACTGAGCTGGAGTGAACTKCCAGCCTGCACCTGCGGCCACCGCCCCTTCCTTCCCTCTCCTCCCACGCCCTCCCTGCTCCTCCCCCAGGTTGACTGTAAACAGGGAAGCCTGGGGTTCCAGCTCTGAAGCTTTCCCCACAGGCTGGGCACAGGTTGGGCAGACCTGGGAGGTGGAGGATGGTGAGGGAGGAGGGCAGCTGTGCTTGGCTGACCCTCTACCCACAACCCACAGGGAGTGTAAATGCGGCTCTCCCCTAGAACTGCTGGTGCTCTCCACAGTGCCCATGCCCCTCAGCACATCTCTTCCTGGTCTCCTTCCCACACTCAGCTTCTGGCAAGCTGCCCTCACCCTGTGCCTCTTGCCCTGCCTATACCTAGGTATTTCTTCCCTGGCACAATTCCACCATCATCTTTTTTTCAACATCTACAGAGGATCCTCTTCTAGCCAGCTTCAGTCTGTCTCCTACAGGAAGGCTTCCCTGTCTTCTCCAGCGCCCTGGATTCACCACACATCTGGCCTCCTTTAGGAGAGGCCTCTCGTTGCTGTGGCTGGGCTGTGAGCCCCAAGAGCTGAGCCTGTGTCTTCCACCAGACCTGGGTCTCCTTTAGTCTTTCTGTCTTAGGCCATTGAGAACCACCTGAGAAACCAGGCTGGCTGTAGGACCCAGACTCACCTTCTTATGTTCACCTCCAGCTCCCATACCTCAGGCCTGCCCTGACGTGCTCATCCTGGGACAGAGTACACATGGAGGCCTATGCGTTGCTTACCTCAACATTTGGAGTTAAAAATCAAGCATGCCCATAGCCTGGCCTGTGTTCTACCTGGAACCTCACCACTGCTTCCCAGGAGTCCTCTCTGTGCCGAGAGGCTAAAGCAGTTGTGCTACCCCAGGGCCTGTAGAGTGTCTCACGGGTACCAAACAAGGCAGAATAGATGCTGGGTAYTGGCTGGACTGGCCAACCCAAGTTCTGCCAGGTCACCTCCATGTCTCATTCCAGACTCAGGACTTCCTGCATTTCTAAACACCTCCCTAAACTATACCACCTGAACAGAGGGAAAGGTGGAAGTGCAGTTGTTGGGTATCCCTGGTTCCCAGCACCCCACTTTGGGGGACTCTGTCAGTGCAGCCAATTTGAAAACACAGTGGCAGCTACTTTGTTCCCCAAAGCAGACTGGAGCARGCTATGGTTGTCTTTTCTGCCCACAGGGCCCAAATTTCATCCTACATCTTTCAGGTGAGGACATATTTCAGGCCTTGGGTCCTATTCCCATTCTGTCAACAAGCTCTCCTGTTGGGGTGAGGGAGTGTGTGACTATAAAGGGGCAACATGAGGGTGATCTTTATGATGATGGAGCATCCTCATGGCATGGTGTCCATGAATCTACTCAGGTGATGAAATGACAGGGAACTGCACACTTGGTACCAATGTCAGTTTTCCAATTTGATATTTAACCTGTTATGGAAGATACAACCATTGCGGGAAATTGGGTGGAAGGAACTCTGTTGTCCTATTTTTGCAACTTTGTATAAGTCTAGTTATCACAAAATTAAAGTTAAATGAAAGTGCCTTGAGAAAAAAGAAAATAAGAAAAAAATTTTAAGTGCCTAATGTTGCATGTTTGCCCTAGGCAGGCCCCTTGTAAACTCTGGGGTCCTACCTGGATTCAGCTTTGATGCCATCTCTCTTCCTCTCCAGATCTGGTCTCACCTTGCATTGWTTGCCCAATTTTCCCCTCTCATGTATTTTTATTTTGGTCCAGGTATTGAAACCAGGGTTGCTCTCCCACATCCTCAGCCCTTTTTATTTTTATTTAGAGACAGAGTCTCACTAAGTAGCTCAGGGCCTTGCTGAGTTACTGAGGCTGGCCTCGAATGTGCAATCCTCCTGACTCAACGCAAGTTGCTGGGATTACAGGTGTGAACCACCTTTGCAAGTATTTTTAAGTTTCAAAGAGGAGCTTGCAAAGAATAACACTTAACCAACGAAAGCTTTGATGTTGGCACCTGGAGACTTTGGGGTGCCTGGGTGGGAGCTCAATTGGGAGTGAGAGTCAGGGACCTATTGACAAACACAGTGGATACCGTGACCCACCTGCAACCTCAGATTCTAGGGCCTCCCCTCTAAGTCCCCCCTCACTCTGAGCCCATTTTCCATCACAGAGGACAGGGACAAAACGGAATRAGGTGTTGCTGCGGGGCCTGTTTCCCTTCTTGTCATCGTTTTCCTTTATTTCAGTGAGAGACACGCACACGCACACTGCACTCACACACACGAGCTGCGGGGACCAAGGCCATTTGGTCAAGTCTCTGAGCTGGGGCAGGTGGGGAGGGGCTGCAGCAGCCACCCCTCTCTTCTGGGCCTGCTCAGTGCAGTCCACTGGGGCTCAGGAGGCTGGGGCGGTGCTGTGCTTGGGGACTCGGTGTCACACAGKAGTGGGAGTTTAAGTGTTAGCGTTCTTGCTGCCTCCGCTGCCAGGGCTGGCTACTTTCCGTTCTAGCCGGCTGTAGGGCTCAAAGGCTGAGGAGCCGAGTTCATAGCCAGCAGGCAGGTCCAGGAGGGGGGCCATGGAAAAGCAGACGGCTGGCAGAGGGGGCGGCAGCGGAGGAGATGTCGAGGCCGAGGGCAGCGGGTTGACGCGTGGGGAGGAGTTCCTGGGGTCACCCAAAGAGGTGCCCCTATGGCCAGCAGGCAGGCCAGGCAGGCCAGGGGTCAGTGCCAGGAGGCTGGGGGCCCTGGGCACCGAGAGCAGCCGGCCCTGCTCCAGCAGTCGAAGAATGTTGGAGGTGGCGAAGGCCTCGGAAGCCGAGGAGGAAGCCTGCTTCTCCAGGTCTCTGCTCTGGTCTTTCTTCTGCTTGGTGCGGCGGTTCTGGAACCAGACCTTCACCTTGGGGTGGAGGGTGGGGAGGGGGTGTCGGCAGGGAAGGGGGACAGGCAAAGCAGAGTAGGGAAAGTGGGAGGAGAAAAGGAGAGGAAGTGTGTGGGCACCGGGGTGAGGAAAGAGAGGGGAAAGAAGAGCAGATTGTCATTAAGGTCTTCCCACAACCAGTCTGCTCTGGGTGAAATGAGTAGGGACCCTTGTCCCCAAATTGTAAACACCCCTTCATTGCTAAAGTTTACTCTGACCTAGAATAGAGGAATGAATTGGCTGATGGAGGATGGAATTTGGGGGTACGATTGAAGTATGGGAGTTCCCTTCTTAGCCTWTGCACTTTGGGCTGGTAGTCAAGTTCATGGCTTTAGCCACCATCTATATGCTGCCTCAGGCCCTGGCCTCTGACCTAAAGTCCAGGCTGGGCGTCCAACTGTCTGTTATACATCATCCTATTTGCTGAGTTGCTGAGGCTGGCCTCGAATGTGCAATCCTCCTGACTCAACCCAAGTTGGATGTCTCAAAGCACCCCAAACTATGGATGTCTCAAAGCACCCCAAACTCCACACTCACAGATGCAGCTTAGTTACTCCTCCAAATAGGGACCTGCATTCCCTCTTCCACTAGGATCATCTCCATCCACCCAAGTAGACATGGGGGAAGGCCTCCTCCCTGTGGTGGACACTTCCTAGAGCAGAGCCTCTTCTCTTCCTGTGTCCTCTCTGACCTGACCATTTCCAGATCAGTACCTCTTGACCTTGGCCACCCATGAGAGACACCTGGGAGCCACCTATTAACTCACTGCTAGCTTCACCCCATCAGCTCAGAATGCGGGTGGCTAGAATCAGGCTCTGGCAGTTTTTACTGTTCACCAGGTGATTCCAAGGTGGGAAGCCCAGTACTGTAAAGGACTCTACCCCAGGCCCAACCCAAGTACCTGCAGAGGCAAGAGGCAAAATGGAAGCCTTTGTCTCATGGCCTGACCTGGCTCTGACACACACGTGTGGCCACCCCATCCTGTTCACACTCTGCAAACAGCCCGTCTTGGACCTGGAGTTCTGAATAAAGCCTTTCTTCAGAAGGACTGACTTGAGCAGGGCCCAGACAAGCACTAGAAGCATCACTTGAGAGGAATTCTGGAGTCCTGGACACCTGGGGGTGGGCTAAGGTAGGTGCAGGCCCCTAATGGGCATAATACCCTTGGCTTTGCAGAATCCTTATCCCCTAGGGAAGGACATGGCCAGAGGAGGCCAAAGTGGGGCCCTCTGTGACATGGGGCAGAGGTCAGTTACCCAGTCTAAGGACAGTCCCACCACTGCCTCTACCCTTGGCCCCCAGGGCCTCTGGAGGAAGTGCTTCCTAGCTCAGTCTGGCCTTTTGAGTCTTATTAGCAGGTCCTCTGTCCCCATTCCCCATTAAGGTCAAACTTCTCAACATGACACTAGGCAGAATGTGGCAGGACATTGAGGGGTCTTTCTGATGGCCACATGCTCAAAGCTGAGGACATATGGGAACAAAGCACCAAAATTCTAAACAGAGCCACCAACAAAGGGCAGAGACCTATTTCTGGGTCTCTSAGAGGAGGTACATCTGATCCTGCCACCACTGCCCAACACCCCAACCCTCCTCCTAATATGGTACAAGAAAAGGGGAACCAGGAGTGGTCARTTTTGTGGAGTGACAATGGGTTCCCTCTCATCTCTGAGAGGGAGGGAGTGTCCCCACCACTAGAGGTAAGTCAGTCATAAGCCCAGAAAGAATTATTTGAGCTGGGTACGGTGGTGCACGCCCATAACTCCAGCAGCTCAGGATGCTGAAGCAGGAGGATCCCGAGTTCAAAGCCAGCCTCAGCCACAGTGAGGTGCTAAGCAACTCAGTTTCTAAATAAAATACAAAATAAGGCTGGGGGTATGGCTCAGTGCTTGAGTGCCCCTGAGTTCAATCCCTAGTACACCCATCCCCAAAAAAGAAAGAAAGAATCACTTGTAGGTACTGGAAGTACCTCCAGAAAGGAGATTGGCATTTGCTCAGCTGGTAGAAAATGTGTCAGGCCATCATGTCAC